CAATAGAATGGAACATCGGAGAATGGCACCCTTAGTATTCCAGTAGCAGTAGGCAAATGATGACCCTTTATTGAGGCTCTGCATCCTGATCTTCAAAGTGAGGTTGATTTCTCTATGTCTGGCTTCTACAATGAATGATGTCTTCAGCAGTATGGCCTTACCATGTCGTTATGGTGGACAACCAAGAGCAATGGCAATAGCCTATGTTGTTTTTGAGGCCTTTGGGGCCTCCTGACTAATAACTCATAGAGAGGTAGCCGATGCTTGGCACTGAGATTTTCATTTAATAACCCATATATTCTAGTAGCCCATGTAGGGTTTACTTGTGTTGAAACTCTTTTAACAAATGCAAATTAGGGCTTTTTCATGGATCCTTAGTTTGACTAAGCCATCCTCTATGCTCTCCTCTCCTCAATCCCCTTTCTCCACTCAGGGTGTTTCTCCTGTCTCCTTTCATGACACGTGTTCTCAACACTAATAGAATTTTTTCTTGCTTTATAGGATTGTAGATTTCTGTACTTCCTTCCTTCATACACCCTTCATTTTGGTTAAGCCCTCAGCCAATGCCTCATTCCCTCATCCCGCCACCCCTCCACACTCAGACCTTTCCTTGAACCTCTCAGTGCCCCTACTTCTTGCTTTCATTTTACCTGGATGTTACTATTCCCTCTCCCTTGAAGTGTCCACTCATATGTAGTGGTCTGTTTCTCATTTCCTGGCTTCCACCTGTAGTACTGCAGGTTAAACACACACACACACACACACACACACACACACACACTGTGTATTTAACACCCACACACACACACACACACACACACACACACACACACACACACACACACACACACGATTTGAAGCTAGGATCTGCATATGAGACAGAACATGTGATTGTTGGCTTTTTGGCCTAGGTGAGACCTCATTCAACGTAATTAGGCAGTGCTAATTTTAGATACTTTCCTAGTCTGCTATAACTGAAAGATATAGAGCAGGTAATTTACCAGGAGTTAAGGTTTGCTCTTCTCACAGTTATGAAGGCTGGAAGTTCAAGGTTGGAGGGCTGTAACTAATGAAGGCCTTCTTGTTGATGGGGACTTTGCAGAACCCCAAGGCTGTGCAAAGATCACATGGTGAGGCAGAGTAGGTGGTGCCACCTGGGATCTCTTTCTTCTTGTACAAAGCCACTAATCCTGTTATGGGGGCCCCATTCTCCTAACCTTGACTAATACTAACTACCCTCTTATTATTACCACGTGGCTTTGAGCATGGGTTTCAGCATGGGTCTGGGTGGGGATGAATACCCCAAAGATAGGAAACATAGACGATAACAGTGTTAGAAATGGCCCATCTTTGACTTAGTTAGATGGGTATATGGACTTAAGAATAGAACTTTTCAAATGTAGCTCATAAAGTCCAAGGGTGTTTATTAAGGCAGGCCTATTTTGGGGGGGGGTTATTTGGGGGTGTGGTACTAGAGACTGAATCCAGATCTTCTGCATACTAAGCACTCATTCTGAGCCACATCTCAGTTCTATAATAAAGTCATAAGGGTTTCCCCTCAAAAAACGTAATCAGCCCTGCATTAAAAACTACATCAAGTCACACACGGCAAGGTTTTCATAGCAATGGAATTGATTTCACTCAGGGACTGTGTCGTTGCAAGAGAAACTTTGCCATTTCATCTCATGTTGATGCAAATTAATGTTTGCTTGTTTTGACCAAGAAGGGTAAAAGTTCTCTCCAACTTTAAATTGCATCCATGAGAGTATCTGAGGGCATTTATAGAGTTCCTTTTGTATACAAGTCTTTGTGATCAACATTTCATAGAAAATGCTCCTAAGGAAAAAGCTTCTTGGTTCAGCCTGGGCCACAATTCTTTCTGTGATCCAATTCCTGAGACAAGTTTCCAGGTCACCCTGTCACATCCAGCCCATGTCTGGTGGATCAGCCAGGCACAGACCAGTCTCACCCACATCTCATGTTCTCTTAGAAGGAGAAATGGAGAGGCAAGTGATGGTTATTGATGCTGATGTGTCTCTAGCAGAGCAAAAGGGACCAGACTTACTTTGAGCATGGTGGACATGGCCTTCAAGGCAATACCTGAGCAGACAGAGAGGGTACATCAGAGACATAGGCAATGTCCTGTGGGATTGGCCTCCTTCCCACCTGCCTGGGGCCTGGACTTGTATCCACTGCAGCTTTGCAGTGCCTGCTTTTTACCTGTGTCTTCTCATGGCTCCCCAAGACCAGAAGAAATAGACCAGACTTTTGAGCCAGACCAACAAAAAGCTGATTCTGGGCTCTTCCATTTTCCAGTTGTGCCATCTTGGGCAAGGCGCTCAGCCCTTCTGACCCTCTAGCTCTCCCCATGTGTCAAAGAGAATAATAGTAGTAGCTACTTTTAAGGTTTAAATTAGACAGTGCTTGGTAGGGCCTCTGACTAGTATGGAGCAAATGGAAGATGTCCATGAATGCTGTTGCTAGATACTGCTTGAAAGCAGGGCTTTACTGCTCAGCTTTGTCTGCCGTGCCTGGTAGAGGCTGGTCTCTACTAGATACTCCATGCATGTGTGAATGCATCCAGAGCTAGGGTGGAACTAGAAGAGATACCACAGGCTCAAGCAAGGGTTTAGGATACTGTGAATCCACATGGCTCGTAGTGCTGGAGTGCACTGCAGAGCCTCGAGGCTGCGTTTTCAGCAACCAAACTCTCAGAAGCTCCTACTGGGAGTGTCCCACTTTTTGACACTGCCACACATTGTGGCTGTATACAAAATTCAGGATTGAGATCTACACAGTTGAGTTATAGAAAGGAAAAAATTCCAAAACAAAATCTCATAATGTGTTGAGCCAGTTTGTAGTTTTGTGCTGGGTTAGATTCATAGCTGCCCTGGAGTGTATGTAGCCCATGGGCTGTGAGTTGAATGCACCCGAGAGTGGAATGAATGCTGGGTGAAAGGTCTGTTCACATCTCAGACGTCCTGGCCCTGCATTTGTCATCCTTATGAGCACCTGGAGGCACAGATGGCCACTCCTTTCTGAAATGACTTCTGTTTTCTGAATCATAAGTTGAAACACCTCTGTGGGCCAAGCTGAGGTCATGACCTGGTGAACGGAGGCCCTGGGCCCCATGGCCATCTGGACAACATGAGATTGACATAGTTGACACAGGGCTTGGAATACTGAGCCATCTAGTCTTCCTAGAGTAGCTGAAAACTTGGGCTTATGAGGGGAATATATTGATTGTTAAATGCTGGGAAAATGTTCAGATTTTCTAGAAGCTCCAAGTGGCCAAACAAAATATGCCTGCAGGCCAGGAAAAGCTGTTGCTTGGAGGCCTTGCCTAAGAAAGTATTTTGCTGAGGAATGGTTTTAGCTGCCCAGGGCAATGTCTAGAAACGATTGTGGTGGTCACAACTTCAGGCTAAAGGTAGGAATTGCTCCTAGGAAGAGTCAGGCAGGCTGCCCATCATCCAGTCATCCATTCATAGGAATGTGTCCCAGATGAAGAGTTAGTTGTCCCTAAGGAAGTTTAGCCAGGATTAGCTTTTGAGGAGAGTCTGGGAACACTTGCTTCCTGGTGGCTGGCCCTTGTGACTGGCTACTCTCATTTTACTGTCAGTTTGTCAGAAAGGCAAGTCTGGGATGCTTGAGCCTTCTCTGGCTCAACCTTGTATGTGAAGGAAGTGCCTTCCATCCAATGTCCTTTGTAGACATGAAAATAATGCAAAAAATTTGGCCAGCAAGGCCCAATATGTTGTCACTTGAGTCCCTAAGGTTTGGGTGTGGTGGCCTATTGAAGATTGTCTTGGTTTTTGGCCTCCTGTCCCTGGTGGAATGTTTGGTTTGGGCTCTTTATTCAGAAGTATTTGGAACTGCAATTGGGAATAGTTTCCTTCCCTAACCAACTCCAGCTAAAAACAATAATACAAACAATAATAAAGCTGCTTCTAGAGTTGCCTGTCAAGCATCTACTTTGTGGCTGCTCCAGGGAGGTTCCCAGGAGGTGAGGAGCTGAGACTCAGCAGGTCCCATGTGGTGGCCTATAGTTCTCTTGAGGAAGTACAAGGACATGCCTCCGGCCCCACCCCATCCCCCACCCCATAGTCCATGCTCTATGCACATTCCTCTTCCTGAGATACGACATCCCATTCTCCCATTCAAAAGCCTTCAGTGGTTCTCAGTTCTGCTCTGAATGAAGCCAGAGCCTTATCAGTCCCTGTGATATGACCCCGGCCTATGCAAAAAAGGCAGCTTTAGAGCCCTGGGCCTATAGTAAGGATGTCTTATTCTAGGAACTGGTGATGGAAGATGAGGCTGCGTGCATTAGGATGCTCTAGCTACAGTAGCAGGAGAATATAAATGAACATGTCTTAAGCCATGAAAGTAGATGGAGACTAGAGGCTGGCTCTGTGTTTGGGGATCAACCAGTGCTCAGATAGTAATGAAAGGAACCAGGTTCTACTCTGTCTTCCTAAGGCAGCACCCTTCTTCTGTTTTTATATGCCTGCTGGTACCAACTGGGATATGTGGAGTTTTGCTTGCACTTGTAGAAAGGTTAAAACGTTCTCCTGCATCATGCAATTCCTGCTTCTCTAGTTAAGTCAGCCCAGGACTATATCAGCACAAAGAGCAATCCACCATGTGGAGTTAGGGTGGAGTTCCCTGGAAGAACTGGACTGGAAGGACAATGCAGGCCGTCTGCGTGGTTGTATTAGGAAGTAGGAAGAGTAGAGATGGGTGATAGGAGGGAACCCCCAGTTCCTGCTACAAAATATAAAAGATTGGGCAGTTTGAAGATAGGACATGGTGACAGACTGAATTGAGGAGAAGGGATAATAAAGTCTATGAGGTGACACTAAAGTTTCATCTTGACAGCCTTGGAAGATGTTATCCCCTACTTCAAAATCAAGGGGCTTTGTGTTACTTTTGGGCAATTTGAGTTTGAAGGGACAACCAGACCATTTCTGTATGCTGAAATTTGTTCTTCCATATTCCAGAGCAAAGAGATTGGCCTGCAGATGCACGAGGAGCTGCTGAAGGTGACCAATGAGCTCTACACAGTAAGTTCTGCCCAGGACCATTGCTGTTTGTTTGGGTCTCTTGTCTTCAGCACCCATATCTGGAGGGAGGCGGGGAAGAATTTGGAGTGACAGGGATTATCACGAAGGCATGTAACGGCCCCAGCTCCTGATTCCTAACATTTGAAATGGGTCCTGGACATGCTTAGTAAGTTCAAGTATGTGAGACAGTAACCTGATCTCCCAGATATAGGATGTGTTACTCATGAGCACAGAGGTCCTAGAGATTGGAAGAACACACGGGTGTGTGTTCCAGGGGGTGTCAGGTGCACAGGCTCCAGACAGAGTGCTCTTTAGTGACTGTGATCTTAGACAGGCTCGGAGCTTGCCTAGACCCCTTTGTCATTGTTTGTAGAATGGAACCCTGCTCTGGGAATAACTTGGAGTGAAATGGTGAGCATGCCTGACTGTTTCCAGTGGAGAACATCACAGTTTAGCCCATAGTTGACCTTACTGCCTGCTTTGGAGCCAAGGCCTAACCACTTGAGATGGGCTTTAGAATTGAGGCAGGCAGTGAGGTAGAGAGCATACTGCCTAGGCTGTAGGGCAAGAGTAGACTTTGGCTTCCTTGATAGGAGTATGGAGAGCCCCATAGATAGCCTTGGGAACAGTGTAGGGTAGGCGGGACAGGTAAAGTGCCAGACAGAACTGTTATATTTTATTATGCAGGGGTTCCTTATATCAGGCCTCATTCAACATGTAAGTAAGTGCAGACTGCGTGAAGCCCTTTCTCTTTGCTATTACTATCTTTCTATATTTATACCCATGGTGGTAGCAATGGATTCATCAGGGGCTAAGAGCCTGGGCTTAGGGCCTGTATTTCAGGTGGAAGGCCCAGTGTAGGCCCCAGCAGTTATGGGATAAGACTTTTTTTTTTTCTGATCTCAAATAGGGAAAGTGTGTTCCAACTTTGCTTCAGGGTAGGTAGGTAAGTAGGTAGATAGATAGATAGATAGATAGATAGATAGATAGATAGATAGATAGATAGATAGATAGACCTGTGATTCCATCTACTTAGGAAGCTGAGGCAGGAGGATTACAAGTTAGAGGCCTGCCCAGGCTACAGAGTATAGGCAAAGCCTGGGCAACTTTGTGAGACCTTATCCTATAATATATAATATACAATAATATATATGTCTTATAACATATAAAACATAATAATAATAAAGTAAAGATAGGCCTGGGTGTGTAGCTGAGTAATAGAGCTCTTACCCAGTATGCTCAGGGCCTTTGGTTCACTCCAATATCACAGAGAAAAGAGGGGAAGAGAAGGCAGACACTCTGATGTCAGAATCTGGGTCAAATCTAATTTTCAACTGGAAAGAACAGTGAAATCCTCCCACAGTCTCTGTAGGGATTGATTCTTGAAAGCCTCATGGACACAGGGATTCTGCAGATGCGCAGGTCTCTGTATAAAATGGTGTCATGTCACACATCCTCCCAGGTACTTTAAGCTATCCCTAAATTGCTTACTACAGCCAATACAGTATCAGTACTATGAAGACAGTTGTTACACTGTGTTGTTTAGTGATGAGAAGAAGTCTGTTCATGCTTGGTATAGATAAAACTTTCTTCCCCAAATATTTTCAACCTGCAGTTGGTTGACTCCATGGATGTGGAGAGAACAGCTATAGAGGACCAACTGCACTGAAAATGAAAAGCACTGTTAGTACGAAAGGGTATATAATGTTCTAGAGAGTCTGTGTGCCATTAATCATGACTGTCACTATTACGTCACCCTCAATAAACATGATAGGCTGTCGTCTGTACTCACGGGAGTGGGATCGGTGATAAGTGTGTAAGGTTAGTGAATGAATGGATTGTCTAGCTTAGGATTCTGTAGAGAATTTCCCCACACTGGTCATTATAGGCTAGGTCTTTCCTATGCTCCTTCAGTTCCTTTGTGAATGGAACACTTTCTCCACAGCTGCTCTGCACCATAACTCTAGGCACAGGCCCTCACTGTTCCTGCCTGGGTCATGAATTTTGCCGCCAGGAGTGTTAGATTTGAGCATACAGACAAGAATAAATTGTATGCACTGGTGATGGAACATGAAGCTGAGCAAGCTGCTTGCTCAACTGCCTCTTTAAAATTCTTAAAAAAAAAATAGCCTCCAAACTCAATGGCTTCAAACCTACCATGTTATTTGCTTGTGAGTCTCTGGGTTGGCAATTTGAGCTGAGTTCAATTTTAGCCAGTCATGTGGTGGTGGTTTTCTGGATGATTAAGAAAAAGAAACCCAAAGTGAGTGGAGTCCAATATACAAACTACTGCTAGTAACCACTTTTGCTAATAATCAAAGCAAGTAATAGTCAGGCCTCAAGTCATGAGATAGAAAAATAGATTCCCTGTTTTCCTGCAATCATTGCTAAAGCCATGCCTAAGCAATGTATGGCTCTCCCTCACAGCCACCCAGCTTCTAGGAGCATTATGGACTTCCTGGACTTCACTGCTAGAAGTTTCTACCTAACATCCTGGTTACACACCTTCCCAGTTCCCTTTGTTTCCGGTCCCTAGTCTCACAGACGTAGTAACTAAGGAATGAATGAGGTGGAGAAGAGACATGCCTTCATCCCCATTCATTTCCTTCTCAGTGTTCTGAGGAAGAAGTTGTCTGCTTAGGGATCCTGCTGAGGGTAATGATGATGGCAGTAATTCCATCATCTGTTTGTCAGCCCCTCTCTTCTCTGGGCTCCCATCAGCCCTCCACATTATAGTCTTTGATCATGTATTGACTTGGAAGAAAAGAAAAACACAGAGTGAAATTGTGGATCGTGATGCAATCCTTCCAAAGGAACAAAAGCAAACCAAAACAACAAACTTCAGCTAAAACTATGTCTAGGTTTTCATTATATTTCTAGGTCATGAGATACAACTGTTGTTTTGGTAACCGATTGGTACCCAGGGCAGGCCTCTTCGGCCCCTCCCTTGTGCTCAGTAGCTCTGCTCTGGCTGCAGGAGGAACCCTGTTTCTTCTTTGAGAGCAAATTGGAGAGGGCTTCAGGTGTCCACACCAAGCAGCAGCTAGTGATTGAAGATACTAACTGGAGTAATGAATAGGCTATACCTTATACAGAGTCAAACTTGATTTGGTTATGTGCCAGGCTAAGGATATGATCTCCACTCTGGGCTTCCAGGAAACCATTTGTAATATTGTCTCTTTCCTGATGGGGTAGTTTAGAGGGCCTCATACTAGATGCCCCTCAACCTGAGTTCTAGTCCCAGCTCTACCCAGGCTCTCTGTGTACCTTTCTTTTTATTTTACATGTGTATATCTATGTGTGTGTGTGTGTCTTTATGTGATGGTACATAAGTATGTGCATGTACATGTGTGTGCACACATGTAGAGGACAGAAAACAACCTCAGATGTCATTCCTCAGGCACAGCCCACCTTTTTTGTTACAGGCTGGATCTTACCAAGGAGACTAGGTTGGCTGGCCACTTGCATCTTCCAGAATGACATGTAAATACAACCCTCATCATTTCTCCACGCCATTGGGCCTGCTAACTCATTTAATACTTTACTTTAAAATGTCCAAATCAAGCCCCCCTTCTTCTTTTCTTGAAATCCTCCCTGTCCTAATTAATTAGTGGAAAAGCAGCCTTGTACACTGGCAAACAGGCTTTATAAGCCCCATCAGGGGAGCCCCTGATTCTTCTTCCTGGGAACACATGGTTATTTCCAACTCCTCTTCTAGAGACGGATGAGGGACTCAATGGCTATCAGGGAGCTCTGGGTTTGATTGAGACTCCCTGCCTCATTGAATAAGTGAGAGAGTGTTGGAGGATGATTGCTATCAACCTCAGGCTCCCATATGCAAATATGAATATGCATACATGCACACCACACATACAAATGGAAAAGGGGCTTCATTTTTAAAAGCTTAGAAGTAGATTATTATAGATGCTCCATAAACAATGAAGACAGCAATAATTAAGTTGCTACAGAAAGAGGCATAGTATGAAGTCTCCCATTGCTTTGCCTGGCTCTCTCTCCCTTCCCCCACACCACCTCAGTTGCTAGGTTACTGGAGTCTTTTAGTGGGGTCTCCTTCCAGAGCTATTTTTTCCAAGCCAGTGCACATGTCTAACATGCTCCACACACCGAGTCCACATGAGTGGGAGCCACTGTCCCCGTACACTCTTCTCGTGATCAACGTTTTTGTCCTCCCACATATGGTTCTGGTCACAGGCTAGGTGCTGGAAGGGGAAGGCATCCACAATATTATGGGTCCGAGGCATAGAAGAGTCAGGCAGCAAACCCAGGGTCACCCGGCTGGGGAGTGACTGAGCCTGTGCCGGAATCCCTAAGGCTCAAGCACCCATCCCTGAATGTTTTAAGGAAATGTATTATCTGGTTATATAAATATATGCCAACTACAGTTATCCCCAGGTAGTTATAGGGGACTTGTTCCAGGACCCTCACAGATATCAAAATCTGAGAACACAGTTCCTTACATGAAACAACACAGTATTTGCTTTTAACCTACTCAACTATCAAAATCTGAGAACACAGTTCCTTACATGAAACAACACAGTATTTGCATAGAACCTACTCAAACCCTGCCATATCCTTCAGATAGACTTGCTTATTAATGTAGGATTCTCCATGAAAGTAGACACTATGCAAACAGTTGTTATGCTCTATTATTTAGGGGATAACAAAAAGGAAAACAAATGTCCATGCTGAGTAGGGGTGCAAACAGTTTCTGAATATGATTGGTCATGAGGGCCACCGGACTTCCATAGACGGGCTTTAGAAGGAGATGATATAGTTCACCTAAGCAGCAAAAGGCAGCCTAGGATACAAGAAGCATTCTGTGCCTGCCATGAAACTTAGCCTCACCCAGTTGTTGGATAGCTGCAGCCAGAGACAAGCACTAAAGATGCATCACAGCGAGGCTTAAGTCCCGTGTGGCCTTCTCACCTGCACCAATAGGGTCCCAAGAGCATTGAAGCAGGTTCAAAGCTTACGAGGGA